ATACTTCATTTTCTGCATTTCAATTGTCATCTGATTTTGGACCAGTCCTTGTTTATTCTCCAAAAGCCACTATCACAGGCAAAGGGACTTCCTTATGATGCAAAGCCTCACCTGTTCTTCACAGGAACACAGAGCTTCTACAAACACAGCAATTCCTCTTACTGGTCAATCAGTCCATACAGGCATCTGAGTCAGAACAACCTGCTGAGTTTGAACTGAAATAAAAATTGTCGTGGCAGAATTCAAGGAGACAAGACAAAATAAATTACTCTGTCTGCTGTACTGGTCAATCAGTTCACATATTATATTCACATACAGATGTGATCAACTTAACTTGTGCTTATGTAACCAGACACATTATTGCATTGCTTCATCTTTAACTAAGTCAAACAGTAGCAAATTAGTTCTGGTGCTGTGCAGAATTACCTGCTGTGATGAATTACCTGTTCACTCTTTGAACAAAGTCCATAAAAAGCACACAGAAGTCATTTATCCCATCAAATTGCAATTTGGACCATGCAGCTAAAGTGCAGCTGACCCGAGGTGGAAAGTTCACAAGCCACTCAGCTCTGCTTCCAAATTAATCCCTTGCATAAGCTTGATATAAAGCAAACACAGCATTTTGGCATGCACAAGCTTCTTGACGAGCTGCATCCATGATGCATTCCCAAGGGACTCTCTAGTATTTCCTTACCAAAAGGCTCAATGTAGTTTTCTTTCAGAGCTGGACAAGTGAAGGCAGCCTGGATCCCACTGCCAATGCTACTCAGTGCACTTACATGTTCTTAAGATTTGTAATATGCTAAAATAAAACTACATTTGACTACAGAGTTGGACTATTCTGAATCTTATAAGCAAATGACAACACAGAAATATGCTGCTGTTCTGGTGTTGTTAATTACTCCACCCAAGGACTATGACAAATAAATACCTGATACAGGAATTGTCTATAAAACTGGAAAATTTTTTCCTCTGACATTACTGATGTATGAGCTGATAGCACAAACAATTCCAAAAATATATGGGTAGGAAAGGAAAATCCCTACCAAGTGGTATAAAACCTTTATCTCTCCCTACAGAGCTCAATGTAATCTTAACTAAGGATCACAAGAGATGTCACACTATAGGAAATATTTGTTTCCAGAAGTATAACAGTTTAGAAATAAATGCTAGATAGGAAGAAAGGAACTGGCTTAATCTAACATATCAGTCATTATCATGCAGAGAGATCCCATTATAATTCAAATATAAAAAACAAGGTCCAGTTTTCACTTAGTAAAACTGGGAGCTATGTTAAAGCCACTAAGCATTAAGATAAACAGAGGACTCCTCTATTAAATACAGGGCACACAGAATTCAGTGTCTACCCAGCAAGTCTCAGGGATGTTGGGCAACAGCAATCAAAACAGTTTTAACATCAGAATCACCTTTGGTTTGGATTTTCTGGGGAGGGCACACTTTACACTGAAGAAAAAAACACTGTATTGCAGACATAACACAAGCTTGTAAAGGAAAGTGCTCTATCATAAGGCTTCACATTAAGAATTACCCAATGCTTGCTAATTCTGTAGGAATTATTCTAGGAAAGGGCTCAAAGTGTGACATGGTTTGAGAGCAAAGTGGGTTCTTTCTGTCTTCTCTCTCAGACATAAGCCCATCTACACGTCAAAGACTCATTCCCTTGAAATGAGCAATATGAAGCATTCCAGCTGCGAAGCTGAACTTCCAGTTGATCTCCAACATCAACAGAAACCATGTTAATGACTCAAGCATGCTAAGAGAAACTGCATCTCGAGGATGAAAAACTGCAAAGGTATTAAATGGCTCCCAGTGGTGCCTGCAGCAGGGGCCAACACCCACAGCAGTGTTTGTTCTTAAACTTTGACTTGATGCTGTTACTTTCACTCATAAATCATCCTTCAATTAAAAACAGTTGTAATTAATAACATACCCCCTGTGCCTATGCCCTGGGCCATTTCCACTAAAACTATTACACCATGCTGTGTCATATGCCAACTATAAGCATCAACAGCTTTTTTTTTGGGCCTGTGAGTAGTTTGTACTGTTGTAAGAGCACAGTTGCAGGTAAGCACCTGATCACCCCTCAAAACACTGGGCACACAGGGGAATCATCTTAGCAAGAACACGCCATCCAAAGCCAGTAGGACAAAGAGGGTTGTGAAGCGTGACAGCAAACCAGCACCAAGAAAACTCAGTCCCAGGCATTCAGCCAGCCAGCCACCACATTAACTACTCAACTTTCCTAGCTCTCCATCCTGGGCATCCTTCCCCACAAAGCTTCCCAGTCAGTATCCCTGCCTTTTGAAACAGGACGTCCATTGGCTCTGTCTCTTGGTTTCAGAACTGGGAGACCAGCACCCAAAAAAGCCGCTTTCTACAGAAATCCACATGCATTTCCCCCATCCTTTTTCTTACTGCTTCAGGTTCAAACAGAACTCAATTCCCAAGAGTTTACCTCCATCTCATCTTACTAGACCTCATCATTGTTACACAACACTGTGATTTGTTTCTAACAAAGAGACTCAAGCTCTATGCCACCATTTGAGAAAGCCAGACACTGGCATGTCTTTAGAGAAGAGAATGACTCTGGGGGCCCCGAATCACACAGCAATTTCTTCTTGCAAATCCCATTCAAGCATCTGAGGGCCTCCTCTTGCAGTGACACAGCAAGCACTGCTTTCTGTCAACTTAAACAAGCAGCTTCTGTGTTTCCCTTAAACCGACAACTGATTGGACCTAATGAAACATTAAAGTGGCAGTTGGTCTTTGGTATTTTTAAAGAAAAATTTACACTCCAAGAGCTTGACTCTGCCCTGAGAGACGACTCAGAACCAGTAACAATCCTGGTTTGTACAAGACAAAGTGAATAAGTGTGTCCCAGATCTCACACAGCAAAGCTGTCAACCTACAGATAACTTTAGCTGCAAGTTAAAAATGGAATTAGCTCACTAGTTTGTATGATTTACATTTAATATTTCAGATCAATGGTTTTGCATAATCCCCTGGAAAGCAGTGGAATAAACACTTCCAAACAAAGCATATGGTCCCTCAGTCATCATGTCTCAAGCCAGGCTAGCACATTCCAGCCCTCACCCCATCTCCCCAAATCACTCCTTTGCTTCACAGGACCCCTTCCTCCTCTTGCCCCATGGGCTGCAGTTTACCTAAACTTCATTCATACCCATATTAGGCTATTTTGTAGTAACACATGTCTGGCTCAGTTTGCTATTTAAGAGCCTTTTGCTTTCCCATCTCTTACTCATCCCCTGCCTGAGGCTCTCAGCACACCCTGTCCCGCTGTGTGGGCTGTCAGAAGCCTAAGCACAGTTTCTTTAACTACAGCAACAATTGAATACCATAATACAGCAGTCTAAAAGCCATCAAAATTGCAATAACATCAAACATTTTACTGTTCACGAATGCACTGAGAAAATAATTTTTCATCCAGCACCACACCTTCCCACACTCATCACAGCAATCAGGTAGCCAAGCCTGCCCTCTAGTTTGCCCTGCTGCCCTTGCAGTGTGGCAAAATCACAGCCTTAACCTGCTCCCAGCCTGAGAGAAAAAATAACATCTTTTGGGAGGGTCAATTTGTTGGTTTTGTGTTAGGCTGTTTTCCTGGGGTTTCATGTTTGTTTTTTTTTAAATGTTAAGTGAGGGTTATTACTAGGCCCTCTCTTACAATGCAAAAAATAGGTAGGCAGTGTTTTGTTTCAAATGTACTATCAAGACGGCTTCAAGTTCATGTACCTTAATCAACCACTCATTCTAGAGACTTCCTACTCAGTGCTGGCAGGTAATAGTGATTTTAGTCAGGCATCCCTAAGCTCAAGCCAAAGCTGCTCACTTTCACTGACCTGAGTGTCTGCAGAGCTATTGTTCCCATGTATTTTCATTCTTCTCTCTGGCTCCAATTGCACAGGATTTTTCCTGCTTTCCAGAGGCGCCACCACTGTCACTGAAGGGCCTGGCATTGGCCAGTGGCGGGTCCACCTTGGAGCCAGCCAGCCTTGGCTTTGTTGAACCCAGCAGAAACCTTCCAGCATCTTCTCACGGAAGCCACACCTGTATAGCCCCTGCCACTACCAAAACCTTGCCATGCAAACCCAATGCAGTACAGTATTATTTAAACACTAATACAATGACCATTAAAAAATTTAAAAATTACCATGACAACTAGCTTTGACATTAACAGGAACATACGACACATGAAAGGAAACTCTCAACCTAAAGAGATCACAGCAAAACCCTTGAAATACAATAAAGCTTAGTATTGGTAAGGCATGACAGGAGCCCCAGTAGGATCTATCTCTACTCAGTGTACTTTTTTACATTGCATGGCTGCAGTTTCTGTTCTTTGAGCTCCCCACACATGATGTAACTCCATCGCTTCATGGACTGTTTTCATTGCACTGTTCACCTGAGTGGTTGTTTCCACTCCCAAGCACAGGCAACATCAAACCAGCACCTGGCTGTGACTGTGCAGAGACTCAGGCACTCCCTCTTATCTCAAGGAGAATGTCGTGGATCAAAGCCTTATCTACAAAGAAGATCTTCCAATGGATGGATTAATGCTCAGCTTGTTACCTTCAACTGCTCAGACATGACAGTGCCTATACTTATAGCAGAGGTCAAACTTTTCAGATTTTTGTAGTACAGTTATAGTAAGGAAAAAAATCTCCCTGTTATTTCTAGGAAATTAAGTTATTGTCTAGGGATTCTGCTATGTGAAACATAAAATAGATATCGAGCACAGAACCCAGTTAGTAAAGAATGACAGGTGTGCTCCCATTGAAATAAACACCTTAGAGTTCTAGAACGTTCAGTTTTTCTGTTACTGCTTCCAGCACCAAGTAAACCTTTTACCATAGGTTTAACTCTTCATTTATTCTCCACTGTGAGCAGTACTACATATTTCTTTTATGCTGTTCTATATATATTAAACACATTATTCAAAAACTGTTCAGCACACGTGCTTGTTTACCGGATCTTGTATTGCAGGGTAGTTCTTTATTAAAAGGAAGTATTTGTTCTACAATGCACAGTTCATACACTGGAGAATGGGAAGCCAACATGCCCACATACCAACTAACTTTGTGTTTCAGGTACTCAGACGATTCTTCAGTTTGCTGGCAGCAACCTGCCAACAGGGTCTGGATGAGAAAAGTTAACGTGTCAGAAGCAAAGTGTAAAAATTGATTTGCATTAGTGTGCCGCGGTGTCTATGCCTGTGCATACCTGGCACTGGGGTGGATAAGAGAGGACTGAGACTTGGCAACACATTCCTCAAACCACTGGAGATAACCAATTTTTATCTCATTTATGCCTAGGTTTTACCATGGACACACACAGCACCAAAACCATGCCAAGCCCCATATTAAGCAAAAGACTTCCAAAAAAGGCTAAACTAATACATTAATCTGGAAAACTCAAATTAAGAGAAGAACCTCAAGCACAACAGCTTAACAGCCATTATCAGTGTTAGGAAAGTTTTATGCCTTGCTGGAACCTTAGGAGAATTTTTTTATCCAGAGACTAAAAAGCTTGCTAACAGCACAGAAGTGGAATGAAATTTGGGTTATCCTACAACACAAAAAAATCTCACTATGGCTTGACAAGAGAAAGTTATACACACAACCAAGGAAGAAAGAAAACAATCAACATATTGTATCATTTCACAGTGTACAAGTAAGTATTCATGAAGAGAAGGCAATTTTCTATGTGGTCACTCTTGTGTTCTCTGCTTCATAAAGGACACCATTTACAGATGGATACAGCTTGTTTCTCTTGGTCCTTCCCCTGCAATCCATTCCAGCAGCTTATAGCTGTTACTGACACTGCTTTACCACAGGAAATCCAACAGCATCCTTTAGCAAATATCAAGGAGATACATACCTGTGTAAAGACATACAAAAATATGCTACGCCCTTTCCTTTGCATCATCAAGATAAAGGAAATTGAAGATTGAATTTTACACTGCAATAAAAAATATATTTGAAAACAAACAAAAAAATTGTATTTCACATTAGAAAGACATCACCTGAGTTCCTAAACAAGTCTGTTTTTTGAAATTACTTCTAAACTGAGAAATGTATTAATTACGCCTGTCCCACTGAGCTGGTTTTGGCCAGGATGGAGGTAATTTTCTTCATAACAGCTACCATGGGGCTATGGTTTGGATTTGTGCTGAAAACAGACACACTTGAGCGTGCAGCTTTTGCTTTACCTATTAAACTGTCTTTATCTCAATCCATGAGTCTTCTCACTTTGCTTTCCTGATTCCTCCACTCATCTCACTGGGAGGGCAGAGTGAGTGAGCAGCTGCATTGTGCTCAGTTACTGGCTGGGGTTAAACAACAAATCAGGAAACTATCCACAGCAAAGTGAAATTCCATCTTTTCCACTACAGTTGGACAGTAAGTAATGCAGCTTTTTTAACTAGCAATTTAATTCCTTGAAAATTTAATGCTCGCTTCATGCCAATGTTATTTTTGGAGCAAGCCAGAGGCAAAAATAGCTACAGGAGTTTTCAAAAATATATAATTATTCCATTCTAATTGCAGGTGAAGACCTCCTCAGCCTGACGTAACAGAGGCTGGCTAAAGAACAACTTCCATCAACATCACAGAAAACACGGGTACACAGGCAAGATGAGCACAAGTCTTATTTCAACCACAGCTGAGGCACCAGCCTCCTTTTTGTACACGTGTATTATACATTTTGAAGAATGCTTTTCCTTCAGCTCACAAAAAACCCCTTGATTTACAGTCTGTAGACACCAGACGACATGATCTTCGCTCTAGTCCTGTTTGCCTTCCCGCCACTGCCGCGAGCCCTCGTTCCACGCTACATAAACAAAGAGAGCAAGTACCACGTGAACAGTAACTACAGCCACGATGGCAGCATAGAAATAGCTGTCTCTGTCGGACATTCCTAAGGAACCTGGGAAAACAAGGAGAGTAAAGAATATCAGTTATTAGGAACTCTGACACGGCAAGTCACAATTCTTCCTAAAGACCAAAGTTACAAGTGCTCCTGTATCAAAAGCTCAAAACAATTCGTAGGAAAGAATTCACCATGATAGTCAAAGGCCCAGAAACCACTTCTGGAACAAAGCAACAGTGCAGTATTCAATGTTTAAGATAAAATACCCTGGATTTGATGTCAACAGCTTATCTACAACATTTTCTGCTACTATCTTCCAGCACCAAATAAACCTCAACATCCTTTTTTCCTAACGCTCTTTGTGGGGTAGGAAAATGAGGGGGCGGGGGGAGGGAAGAAGGGGGAGAATTCTGTAATTTATTTGCCACTGTAACAGGAGAAAACAGTGGAACAATTACATTTAGGGGATTGTTACCTTCTATATTTAGACCATAAAACAGTAACTCCCCACCAGTTAAATTACATGAACACATCTCATATGAAATAAGCCTTCAAATATCGAAGAGCAAACACCGAAATATTGTTTCCCTTAATTAATTTAAGAAAAACCCAACAAAATCCCCCAAAGAGCAAACCAAAAACCACTCCAAAAATACCACCCTTCAAAGACAAGCTCAATCCTTTCAGGGCTGACAGATCTTGTCATTAACAGTGAAGTTAAGGCTCAGTTTGCTACACTTCAGATAAAAAAAAAAGCTAAAAGGGATCTTGAAAGCTACTTAATAAGCTTTGAGCCTTCTATGTACTACATACAGCAGTACACACCAAAGAGAACAGTCTTGGAACAACTCAGTTTCATACTCACAAACTGCTCTTAAAAGCAGCTGCCTTCTCCCTCCCTCCTCCCCACTTCTGAAGGAGATAACTTCCTAGTACTGCAGGAGAAAAGTATTAAAGCCTTGCAGAATCGAGACTACAACACGGCTAAGCTGTTCAAACAAACAGTTAAGTCCCTCTTCCTTCTTTTTTCCTCCTTCTTTATTTAAATTAAAGTTCTACAAGCAACCACATTCAATACCTGAAATTGCATATATGAATTAACTTGTTTACACTTACAAATACAGATGTTTTAAAAAGCAAAAATAAACCCCATAAACAACATTATTCTGCCCTGAACACATGATTAGTTTGCAGTACCTGCAGGAAATATATCCCTGATGATTCTGACAAAAGTCTGCTGTAGGGTGGTGTTAGATACCCTTTAGGTAAGGGGAACAATGCACCTCTGTGCTATATAAGCCATTGTATAACAAACAGCAAACACTGGATTGCAGACCACAATGCAGGGAAGGATGCACTGACCATTTATATAATTTTCTGTTCTAATTAGACATTACAGAACCTTTGGTCTGCAGAAGGAAACAAAACAGGAAGAATAAAGATGCTATTACAGGATTGTGCTTTTCCTCTTTTTTTGTAATAATAATACTAATTGGCAGAAGCAGAATTACCTTCAAATACATAAGCCTTTGATGAAAAATATAGCCCAATTGGTAATGTAATCATTAGAGCTGTGAAGAACAGAAGCGTTCTTAAAGTTGATGTTAATGAACCCTCATTTCTGAAATAAATAAGAGAAGTTACACACACAAGGAAGTCACAATATACACGCCTGAAACAGGACAAGAACTTTTCCCAAACTGAAGCAAATTACTTTTCAATAATTGAGTAAAAGTATTGTTTGGAAGCAAAAGACTTGGAATATGCATTTGTTTGCTGCAATAAAAATGAGAGTACTCAAAATGATGTAATGATTCTGCCAGTCAGAGGTCAAAAACAAGATTAAAAACAATCTTTAGATTTTTTTTTCCCTGTTACTGCTTTGCAAGCATTAACAACTTAGGGGAGTTATGTTAATACGTTTATCAGTATACTATCACAGAATTATTAAATATCTAATATCAGACACATGCACTTGTCACATGACAGTTTTCTGCATTAAAACTTGCCAAGTTCCTTTCTTTTTTTTTTTTTCAGTAACTACAAGTTCAGGAAAATGACAAATTCTACAGGCTGGGATATAGAGGGAAGTACATAGAATGATTTTAACAGTTAACTACTGAAAAGTTCCTTTTTTTGGGGTATTGTTCCTCTAGTTAAAAATAAGTTATCAGCTTCCATTAAGAAAGCTGGAATAACTGTAGCAACACTCAGAACATGGAGCCAACACACCAAAACTTCTTTTGCCTTCACAGACCTAAACCCAGAGAAACACTATGAAGGGTTATGTTCTTGGTAAGGTCTCCTTGAACCTGATCTGCTAGAACAGGTTTTGTGTTTACACAACACCACATAGAGCTTGTTTTGTGTGTGCTTCACCCAGTTCTCACTCACTCTGCCTGGCTGACCACATCATTTTATGCTCAAGCAAACACATCAGCCAGGCAATATCCTTCTGACTTTCAAAGACTACCTGATTCAAGGGCATGTGTCCTTAAGGCCTTTGAAACACAAATATGCACAAAAGCTAACTCAAGTCAGGGATACATAATTCTTAAAACTCCTAGGAACCTTCAAAGCATTTTTTGCGTAAGTAGTTTCAAAAAGTTTTATCGACACATGTTTGCGCCATAGCATATTGCTTGAAATCAGTTTTAATCTTGACATTTCTTTGGAAAAAAAGTGGAAGTGGGGAAAAAAATTCTCATCCTCTGACAGTCACGTGCAGCCACACACAGCTTCTACGCTGCAGCCAACAGCACTTCCTGCTGGCCATGTGCTGGTCATTTAGGCAGCATAAAAAAAGAAGGGCATTCGGAATCTTTTCCTTTACTAGCGTTTGCCTCGGGGTCTCGGGAGTGGCGAGCACAAGTCCACTCACTTTGGAGAAGTGAGTGGAAATCAGAAACTCTTCTATCAGCACTTACCCACAGAAGAGTAAGATGACCTCCAGCTTATTACCAAAGTTAAAAACTCCACTGGTGACAAATACTTTTCTTACACTGACATACTCTCACCGCTTTCCCTACGCAGCAAAAACAAACATTCGTGTGTAAGCTCAGCCCGGCTCGGAGCTCAGCCTAGCTCGGAGCTCAGCCTAGCTCGGAGCTCAGCCTAGCTCGGAGC